TTAGATTGAAAGGAAAATTTTATAAGACGGTGGTGAGATCTGCAATGCTTTATGGCGCTGAATGTTGGCCTTTAAAAGAGAAGCATAATAATAAGTTAAGTGTTGCCGAGATGAGAATGATTAGGTGGATGAGTGGCTTTACACTTAGAGACAAAATGCAGATTGAATATATTCGTGATAGGGTTGGTGTAGCTCCTGTGATAGACAAAATTAGAGAAAGTCGTCTTAGATGGTTTAGTCACATTAAACGTCGACCATCTGATGATCCGATTAGGAGAGTAGATGTTTTAGATTCGACTTGTGTTAAGAAAGGCAGAGGTAGACCTAGGAAGACTTGGGCTTATTGTATTAAAAATGATCTTAATTTACTAGAACTAAATGAAAGTATGACACTAAATAGGACGCAATGGAGAAAAAGGATTCATGTAGCCGACCCCACGTAGTGCGATTGAGGCTTTGTTGTTGTTGTTGTTGTATTCTCTATTGTTTCCATTTAGTTTTTGCTACAAATGTGCAGTTTTCAATAAGTTGGTCAAAATCTGGATCAACTTGTAGCATATCATCCCCTATAATGACTGTTATTTCAATTCTTTAATCTCACTTTTTCAGAACTTAGGTGTTCATCTTTATTCATCATTTATACCAAGACATGTGAAATATAAATAGCTGTTTGGCTGCTGATGTGAATAGTTTTTAGACTATATCTAAGATAACAGCATTTTGTTGGGTTAGGTTTGGGAAATTGAAGAAGAAAAACATGAGTCTGGTGCTGTGCTGCATACTATTGGATGGCCCTTGGATAGGAATACATATGGTGGAAGTTTCCTGTACCACATGAAAGACAGGCAGGTAATTTTTCAATTTTTACCGTTCCGTTAAAAGCCATAATTTCTTCTGGTAGATATCTTGAAATGGTGCCTTTTCATTATTTGCGTTTCAAAAAGCTTATCGTAAATAGCTTAAAAGCGTGGTCCTAGTTGATTTAAGCACCATGTGACTGATTCTGCCAGCCTTTTTGAAAGCCAATTCAAGAAAAACAACCCCATCCGTACTAATTGCATTGGACAGTTGGGATTTGGTAACTTTACCTCTCTGATTACCCTGGTAATTTAAAAATATCTGAATCTGTGAAACTCCTATATATTAATTTGCAATTGCTTTGTCTGGATTTTGATTTTTTGTTAGCTTTGTACACACTAATATATGCGTTACTCAAATTGCATATTTTTTTTCTTCTTCTTATATACTCGATGGTTAAGCAGGATATATTTTGTGATTATGCTTCTTTAATACATTTTGCTATTAGTCTAAGCTTTTGCTTCATTTGGGTTCAAAAGAATTATGTTCTTGAATTTGACACAAGTTGTCAAAATCGATGCATTTATTTTGATTCTCATACTTCCTCATTCATTTACAACTTTGCTTGTTTAACAGCACCAGAAGAGTATTGTCCTAATTGATGACAGCCATCGCCTTGCATGTGTGACTGTCTGGGTCTGAATCGTAACCTGCCTTTTTCATTGAAACCCATCAAATATGCAGTGCAACCTGTAGAAGCTTCAGCTTGCAATGTTGTGCAGGCCAGCTTAAGCGGCCCTTTTCTTTCTTATTCCAACCCATTTCCGATCTCTGTCGAATTCCAATTCCTTCCTATTCTTCTGCTTGCCTTTTCTATCCCCTTTTCTATTTCTATTTTTTTCCAATTCCGATTCCTCCCTATTCATTGCCTAGCTTTTCTATCACCTTCCACTTCTATCCCAATTTCAAATTCCTCCCTATTTTTGTGTTAAGATCCTTTATATTATGTTGTGTTTGCCTTGGTTGGGGAGATTTTTTATGATTGCTGATTTTAGTTGCTGCGTTTAAGGTGCTTCCTTTCAAAGGGTTGTACCTGACGACGAAGTTGCTTCAACTGTAACTCATCCAAAGTAGTGACCTTCTCCAAGGGCACGGGTGGTGCTTCGGCTGTAGCTCGACCCCAACAAGACATTTGTTCTTCTGTAGCCCCTTTCGGCCCTGCATCCAGCAGCTGCAAACCATCTTCTCTGCTGTCATCCACGCCTCTAGCCCCCTTCCAACAGCCTCAAGCCACCTTCCATCCATCTTCCTACTGCTGTCCAGGCCTCTGAATGCTTTCCTGCTGCCGCCAAGCCTTTCCAAATCAGTTCATATTTCCGCCAGCCCCTCCAAGACCTGTTCCTGCTGTTGTCTAGCCCATCGACATCTGTTCGTGTGGCTGTCAATCCACCCTCGTCTAGTTGTTGTCCAGCCTCTGGACACCTATTCCTACTGCTCGCCACCACCACCTGCCTGATGCTATCAAGGGCCAATGCAACCCCTCTCCAGTCTCCTTTCAGCCATCACGCAAGCCTCTCAACCCTTCCTTGTTGTCGACCAAACCTCCAGTCTTCTTCATGTCGTTGTCCACCATTTCCAGCACCGCCACCACTTGCTAGCCGTCATCTTCCAACACCATCGCCATTCCCTTCCGGTCCCGTCGGAACTGCCACTCTCCACTGTAGAGAGCTATGTATGTATTTTGTGTTACTTCCTTTCTTATTTTTCGCAATATCGTCGTTGTCCTTTCCGTTTGCATGTTTGTATTGTTTATGTTGAGGAGTCGTCATTGTAAGCTATTTGAATTTTAGCAATTATATTTATTTTTCCTTTATTGTTTGGGTTAACTTCAGTATCATTTGGTATAAGAGCTACCCCAATCCTAATGCTATTTTAGGGTTCCCTAACATCCACCAAGCCAGCCCCACCAAAATTTTTCTGCCATAAAAACTTTGACGAATGATGTGGAAGCTCCCCGAACCCTGGGAGAATGCTGCAAGCCGGCCCTTCTGTGATAAACTGAAATACTGATCTTTATTAAACATAGCATTTTATTGTTTATTGCTTACATATATTCAAACAATCTAATATAAACTAAATAGTTCGACCAATTGCCGACCACCTAGGAATGAAGAAAATGCATTTTTTTATTCGCTATGATTGCTAAATGATTGGGTATTTCATTGGTGAGTAAAAGTTTGTGGCTTCACGTATTGGGGTTTTCCCCATTCTGGTGCCAATGAATGTTAGAATATCTACTCTGATAAAGTTATTCTAAATTTTGTATTTTCTTTAATTGTAGGTATCATTCGGTTTAGTTGTTGCGTTGAATTATCGCAATCCATACTTGAGCCCTTTTGATGAGTTTCAGGTAACTCGCTCTTCTTCCCTATTTTATTTAACGTGAAATACCTTTATCTTTCAGTTTTTTTTTTCTCAAGTGTTCATGGTTTTTCTTAGTGTTTATGTTTTCTACTACTTATCATATTAACAGTTTAAACAGTCGCAAATTCAAAGTTTGGTATTCTTTTATGCTGTGTTGAAAGGAACGCTTCACGGGAACTTCCTTGTGTTTTTGAGTCAGCTGACATCTTTTTGATGCTACTGTTTGTTTGAAATTCTGCTGATTATTTTTTAATTGTTGATATGGGATTTGTATAGCTAAAACATCCAAGATGAAATGTACTCTTATGAACTATAGGTCTTTGGAAGATGTGGGTTCTACTTATGAGCTAGCAAAATTTTGTCTCAACATTACATCGACGTGGAGCCCGCTAAATAATTATTTTGAGGCAAGGTTAAAAAAGTAATTAAGTCCTTTTTTAAATATTATTGTGGGATATAAATAGGGTTTATTATGTTTAAGGTTAGGTTTTGCTATGATGAGATTGTTGTCTTGAGTGTGTTGTTTGATGTTCTTGAAATAAAATATTTGGTTGCTCTTATTTCTGTGAAAAAATTATCTCTGCTCATATAAAATTGGCATCAGAGCATTTGATTCTTGGCAGGATCGCGGTGTACAGGGTGCGGAATTGTTGTGCCCTAATCTTAGTGGAAGCAATGACGGGATTGCGGCAATTCTTTGCAAAGGATGGATCACATCATACAAGGAGGATCGATAACGAGATACAAACCTCTATATCATCGTGATTCGAAACTGATGAACAGGATCACAACGCCGAACCTTACGATATAGTCAATTCTGAGCTAGCTTGGAGGCAAGCGAAGAGCCTGCAGAAGCTATTTAGGAAGCAAACGATAGGATCGGGTGTGCCCAAAATGTCGCGATACCATCGCGATTTGACTATTGGAAGCTACATCGAGTTCACAGCGAGCACTGGAAATCAATATTGAGTCGCGATGAGTACCCTAGTCGTGATACAACTGGGAAGCCAATGACGAGATTGCTCGTGACTGAACCTTGCAAGACACTCGCGATTCAAGCTAACTGGGAAGTCGCAACATACAATAGTTTCATTTCCTTAATAAAAAAACTTTCCTGGAGTATTGGAAGCAAAAAATTAAGATGTTCTCGAGGATAAATTAGAGGATGAGGTGTGCTAAACTAGATCAGAAATGGAGGACTGTTTCTCGTCCATGGAGGGGAGATCCTTTGCCTTCGAAGAAATGGCGAAGAAGGTCGTGGATATTTCAGAGCTAAACAAACCACAATAACGGAAGCAAATATTATGAAGCAAAATAACTAGGAATAAAGTCAAGAATCAAACGAAAACAAAAAACATAACAAACATCAATATCTAGCTAGGACAGAGAAGTGACATACGGGGACAAAAGTGTCAAGGCTTGGTGGTTATTTTATTTTATCAAAGCAGATATTCTTGTTTAATCTGAAATAACTTATAGGAAATTTATCAGAGCAGATATTCTTATTTTAATGATTGTTTATAAAGTTATCAGAGCAGATATTCTTGTTCTAAACTTCCTAGGACACTAAGTTTCCTTTAAAGGCACATTTTCCTTGTTTTGTTTGCATGTCCCTGGTACTTGTGATTCTGCTTAGTGATCTTTTCTAACCTCCTTATGGAGCTTCTGAATCTCTTGCACCCATTGTATTGCATCCTCACTAATCTTTGATGTCGATAGGAGTGGTACCAATTGAGTGGAGTGAGCAGGTTGCTCGTACACAATCTCAACTAAAGTGCGGCTTGTATTCTGATTCAAAAATCTGATGTAAGCAAACTCAGACAGAGCTAGAATCAAATCGCACAACTTGATATTCTTCCCAACAAAGTGTCTCAGTAGATTTCTAAGACTTCGATTTACTACCTTTCTCTGACCGTCTGTTTATGAGTACGCTGAATTGAAGCTTAGTGCTTATTTTTCCTCATAGAGCCCTCTATAATTGACTCAAGAACTTGACATCTCTGTCTAAAGTGATGGCCTTGGGTACCATGCAACCTTACAATCTCTCTGAAGTACAAGTCGATGACATGCAATGCATTCAGTGTTCAGTGACAGTGTACGAAATGTGCCATCTTCGAGAATCGAGCTACCACAACCATGAATGTATCCTTGTTTCATTGTGTCCTAGGAAGTCCACCAGAAAATTTATGTTAAAATCCACCCACGGTGCCTCTAGTACTAATAATTGGGTGTATAGTCCCATATTTTGTCCCTTAGTTTTTGCCATATGACAAATCCAGCGGTGCCTTACGCGTCGCTCCACATCTCTCGCATGTCAGAGCTAAAAAAGGTTCTCCCACGAGTGTGAGAGTTTTGTCCCTGCCAAAATGCCCTATAAGTCCTTCACTGTGATATCTTGAATAGTGAACTCTCTCAGCGAGCATCTAGGAATGCACAGTTTACTCTGATAGAACAAGTACCCATCAGCTCTGTAATACTGCCCGATATTTTTTTCTTGACATTGCTCATATATTTTCCCAAAATCCTCGTCTGCCTCGTATCGTTCCTTTACTATCTCAAAGCCCACAATTTGAGCCTGCATCACAGTGATCAGTAAGTGACAGCGGCTTAGTGCATCTTCTACACGATTCTTACTCCCCGTCATGAGCTTAAGCACAAATTGGAACGACGCAAAGAAATTCATTTAAGTTGTGTGTCGGCCCTTCAATTTACTCTAGTTGTTTAAGAATTTGAAGGCTTCGTGGTCTGTGAACAACGTGAACTCAATTTTCAATAAGTAATGATCAGTGTTGAGGAGCTCTCACAATAACAAAAAACTCCTAGAATGATTCAACTTCTTACTGAAAAAGGAGATGGAGCAACCTCCCTGGCTCAACACCGATTCTATCCCCACGTTGGATGCATCACACTGCCTCAAACAGCTAGTTGAAATCTGGTAATGCCAAGACTGGTGCCTGGGTCACCTTCTTCTTGAGTGCTTCAAAACTATTCTGTGTTGCCTCTATCCAGTGGAATTTGTTTCCCTTCAATTGTTCTGTAAGGGGGGTCGTGATGGTATTGAATCTCCTGATGAATCGCCTAAAATGATGCTAGCCCAGGAAACTGTTTCAGCTCAGTGAAAGATTGCGGTGCGGTGTAGCTCGCAATGGCCTTGATCTTTGTAGGATCCATCTGAATGCCCTCACTACACCCGATTAACCCAAAAAGCATACATGGGCCGTCATAAAGTGGTATTTCTTTGAATGGGCATATGGTTTCCTTGCTCGCAACACCTCAAATACTACCTTTAGATGTAAGTGCTCTTCGGATCGGATGTAAGCCGGAATGTCGTCAAAGTAATACCACCACAAATTTCTCAATTTGGGCTCGAAATGCCTGATTCATCAACCTCATAAAAATGATAGGTGTGTTTGATAATCTGAAGGGCAAAATTGTCTACTCGTATAAATCATCTCATGTCTTGAAAGTGGTCTTCCACTCCCAGCCTCATCTGGATCTCGTGATATCCACTGCTTAAGTCGATCTTTGAAAAGTTGGTGGCTTCGTGCATTTGATCCAAGAGGTCATCCTTGTGAGGTATGTGAAACCAAAACTTGATGGTAATCTTGTTGATGACCTTGTTGTCAATGCACATACGCCACAAATTTTCCTTCTTGGATAAAATCAAAATAGGGACAATTAAACCAAGAAGGAATTGGTACTCTCTCTAAATAACCCTCTCGTGACGAGATTTTGTACCTGCCGCTGCAATTCTTCGTGCTCCACAAGTCTCGATCTGTAGGTAGGCCAATTTGGTAACACTGTTCCGGGTATGAGATCTATGACATGCTGAATGTCTCTCAGTGTCAATAATCCCTTGGGAAGGCTGTCAGTCATCACCTCATGGAAGTTATGTAGTGGCTGTAATGGTGCTCGCATCTCACTCTCCTCCTTTGTTCCTTTTAGTAGGACTAATGTCATTGTCATTAAAGCTTCCCAAATCGACAGCATGAAGGTGGTTCTTGAGACTAGTGTCTCCTCTGTGTCGTCTACACCTTCTGCATCCTTCGCAGGTAATAGTGCGGCGCGTTCCCATCCTTTTTAAAAGAGTAAGTATTCTTGAAGCTGTCGTGTTGAGTCTTGCGGTCGAATTATCAATGCCTCCCCAACAGAATATCTCACGCATCCATCGGGACTACGTCGCACCACACTTGCTGCTCTAACCGATCCCCAATTGAAAATTCAACAAAGCACTATTGATCTACGCGTATCTCTTTTTCAACCAGGTATGGGAATAAGATTGTGGATGCTTCTGTGCGACCAATCTCAATTTCTTCACCATCTGCGTGGAAAACATATTTTCACAACTTCAACCATCTTAATCAAATTGCAAACCTTACATTTCACAATACACCTGGTGCAAAAGATATTGTGCCTCAGCTATGACTGATCTCTTTCTGGTTCTAACTATAAAACCTCTGTATTACTAGCATCTCTCCCTCTTCACCATGGAGCTGAAGTACTTCCTATAGACTTTCCTCTGACTCCTCGTCCTCCATCTCCTTGACGACGCATTGATCTGTGAATGAGACAACTCGGCTCGTGGGACAGTTGGAAGCTATGTGTTCCTAACTATGGCATTTGAACACCTTCTAGCTGGCACTGTACCTGAAGAGCTACTCTTTTTCGACTTCTTTTTTGTCACTCTCCTATCCTATTTTCCCAACTTCGTTAGAGGTACTCTTGTTAGTCGTTGTAGTTGTAGGTGACTGCCTGACTGAAGACTGCTATCTGAATGAAGATTGCTGTCTGCTATGTTTTTATTGTATTTTCACCTTCAAGGCCAAGGTTTCGACATCCCTTAACGACCAATATGGCTATAATTGCACAACATTGCTAATAACAGACTTTAGGCCCCCAAGTACCGGGCTATGGTGTGTTCCTTTGACTCGACCAACTCACCCTTCATCTACAACTATTCGAACTGTCATGAACTCCATTGAATGA